TTCCCCCCCCCCCCCCCCCCCCCCCCTCCCCCCTCCTGTTCTTGTTCAGGGGCTTGTGGTGGGGCAGCAGCAGGGGTACCATCCGCATCGCCGTGAGCCTAGAAAGGCTACAGGCGAACATTATCCGAGCCGCGTTGCCCCCGAACAGAGCATCGGTCCTGGGGGTACCGGAGGGGGTGACGCGCACGGCGTCCGGTGAGGCGAAGGGGGAGGAGACCGCCCCTCCCACGGAGCTTTCCTGCAAGGTGCTTGGCCCTGTTGGTGTTGTAGAGTGCACTGCTGTTTGTTTGTTGGTGGTTCTTGTTGTTGTTGTTGTTGTTGTTGTTGTTGTTGTTGAGAGGTCTCGCGTATCCACCTCACCAGCACTGTCTGGATGCTCTCACCTTGAATTGCTTGGAAATTTCTGCACTGAGTGTGTGATTTTTTTTTTTTTGGTAAATTGGTGGCGTCAGGTGTTATCCTTAACTAAGTATTAGAAAGCTTTATCTCAGAAAAGACTGTAAATATTTGGTACTTTTTTTTCTTCAGGTTCTGTGGAACGGGCACGACTTTTCTAGCCCCAGCCGGTGGGACAAAGTGTTCTGCATGACGGCCGCCAACAACCAATTGTGGCTGGACATCAGGTGCTCAATGAATCCCGCTTGGTCCGTGCGGTGGTGAGGGCTGCTACCGCCTGACCGTAGACTGCTCAACCTCGTGCGGAAACTCTTGACTGCTAGATTGCCCTTAGGTCGACACCGGCCGCCGTTTCACCTACTGTAAGGGGCACCTTTTTTTTAGTCAAGAATGATCTCTTCTTGGTTCGGGTACCTATACGCTCGTCCCAGTGGCGCGGGAAACATCAGCTTGTTTCTGAGATTAGCGTAAAATTTGTTGTGTGTATGAGCCTGGCATCACTTAGTTTCTTCGTTCGTTGTTGATCCCCTCTTACGTTTACGGGACCCCCTATCGCTTTCACGGGACCCCTCTCTTCAGAGTCTTGAATACTTGCACAAACTGATTTTCTTCATCCTATGTTCTCGATCCCCTCTCCGATTCACGAATTTTGAATTTGCGGAACCCCTTGTAATGGGAACCTCTCTCACGGGACCCCCTCTCGCATTCACGCGACCCCTCTCGTCAGTCTTGAATAAGCCTTTCACAACCTAATTTCTGTATCTCGATTCCCTCTTGGATTCACGGGACCCTTGTTGAATTCGCGGGATCCCTTTCAACGGGAACCACCTCTCGCGGGACCCCCTCTCGCATGCACGGGACCCCGTCTTCAGAGCCGCTCCAGACCTGGTCAACTCGGCGGGGCTTCGCCCAGCCCGCTCCCGGAAAGGGCCACCCCCGGTGGATGCCGTAGACGGCGCGGATGTCCTTGTCCCACCCCCTGAGGGCCACAGCACTGCGGTCGAGGGCACCGCAGCGGCGGTGCGACGATCAGAAGCGATTGCGCCGGTAGAAACGGTGGCGGCGGCGGCGGCGGCGGCGGCGGCGTCTACAACTGCGGCGGCGGCGGCGGCGGTGGTGTCACCGGCGGGCACACCCCTGGAGACCCTTGAGAGCCCGGCGGCTTCTCCGCTGTCGGGGCAACGGCAACGACGAAAACAGCAGCAGCGAGAGACGTCGGCATGTCGGCGGCAGCAGCAGCAGCAGGGTTCGGAGCCAGCCCGAAGAATCTCCGAACGCGAAGAAGGAGAAACAAGAGAGCACAAGACGGAAGCAGCGCGCAAAGGACGACGGGGGGCACGAGCGATACCATCCGCGGGGACCCCCAACCCTCGAGAAGACCCCGCCGGCGCAAGCGAGGAGGCACGCAGCAGCAGCGAGACAGCGGCGGCGGCGGTGGCCCCTGTGGCCGCGTCCCCCGTCGCCGCAATCGCCGCCGCCGTCGCGACGGCGGCTGTAGCCCCCGCCGCCGTCCTCCTAGAGGGCGTCCTCGCGGTCGCCCGCAGCGCCGCGAGGCCCGCGGCGAGGCGGGAGCATCGGCGGCGGGCAGCTGTGGTGGACAACACTTGGGCCGGGAGCCGGAGCTGCATCCTGACGGTGGGGCTGGCGTACCACCTGAGCACGTTTGACGCCCAGGGCTTGGCCGACATGCTCAACTCGGAGGAGAAGTCTACGGAGAGGATGGCAGGGACAAAGGTGAGTTGTGTGTTGGCTGACCTACATACCTGTCGCGTTTTGTGGCGCGCACGTGTATGGTTGGTTTGTTTTCTGAAGGCCGCTTGGATTTCGGTTTTCCACTTTTTTTTTGTGCTCTTCGTCAGGGGTGTCAAGAAACGGGCTTCCACCGCACAAGGGAGTTGGTTTTTGTTTGCTGACGGCATTCTTATCTCACTCGTGTCCCGTTTCCACTTTTTTTGTGTTCTTCGTAAGGGGTGTCACGAAGCGGGCTTCCACCGCACAAGGGAGTTGGTGTGTTTATCTGACGGCATCATCTCTCGAAACGGGCTTCCCCCGCACAAGGGAGTTGGTTTGTTTTCTGACCGCATTATTATCTCGCTCGTGATCCGTTTCCGTATTTATTTGTTTGTTTCTTCAGGAGTGGCACGAAAAGGGCTTCCGGCTGCACTGGGACCCAGTCCGAAGAAGATTTACGATTCTTAATGTCTCCAGGAGAAGCTTCGTGCTGAGGGGTGCCTGCAGCTCGTTGGCTACTGGTAGGAGGAGCGTTGCTGAGGGGACACTCATAATGGGTCGAATGCACACGCACGTCAATGTTCTCACAAGTATTTTGCTGTTTTCAGCCGCACTTTTGACTGGCGTCGTTTCGTTGGCCAGTCGAGTTAGGGCGGTCGATGCTACGAGCAAAAAACACACACACACACACACACACACACACACACTCCGACTCATGGCGGGGCTAGATCATGGCCTTTATAGAAGCGTTTCCGGCTTTGGCCGCACTCAAAGACCGGCGTCGTTTCGTTGGTTAGGTCGATGCTACCCCAAGGCAAACTTACACACGCCCAACACCCGTCGTTTACTTTTTCACCTGTGCGTTCGGGTTAGCTTGGACTTTCAACGCCGGCGAATTGGACGGAGGCTCATAAGAACGAAGTGGCGAGGCTGTCGCTGTAGTCGTCACAAGGATGCCGTTCCGTCCCCCGCCCCCCTTGTACCTTCTGAACTGTCTAACCGATCAAGTCAATCAGTGCTGCCACTTCTTGAAACCGGTAGCGGAGGCCGTTCTCAACCCGAAGCACCCCAGCGACTCATCCTTGATACTGCCAGAACCACAACATCGATGCAACCCCCTCCCCCCTCAGAACTGTCAAGCCAATCAAATCGACCGAAAGTACATCCCCTCCCCTCCCGGTCGAACCAATCAAATGAATCTCAGCTCTCCTCGGCTTCCGCGAAAAAGACCACTTCTCGAAGCCGGTAGCGGAGGCCGTTCTCGACCCTCAACATCCCAGCGACCCCCCTCGACGGCACATGGGTATCACCGGCGACACGGTGCCCCTGCCTTTGCTACGGCCACACTGGATGCGCATCGTGTGGGGCCCCCCTGCGATGGAAATCACACGGGGGGGCGAGCTTCGCGTACAGGTCCGTGCGTTTGTTTCCCAGCAGCCTTCCCAAGGTTTTCCGTTTGTGTTATACACACATGGCGGATAAAGCATACATTTGGGGGGGAAGTTGGGTTGGGGGGATAGGGGTAGGAAATAGGGTCTGCGTCCCCACTCTGTCTTTTATTTTCTCACTTAATATCTCGCGAAGGCCGTCCCTCTTGGCCAGAGAATGGGCGATGGTGGTGGAAAGACGGCTCCTGATGCACTCGCTCACACGCTTTCCCCTCCGCCCGATAACAATGCTCAGGTGTGGTCCAGGCAGCCGACGGGGCCTACCCTTCGGTCGCTGCAACGCCGGAGACGACGGAGATCGTCCATAGGCTGCGCCGGCCAGAGCGAAGATGGCGCTTCACTCGTTGGGACAGCGGTCCTTGATTCTGCGGAAGTGAGTCGGTGTACTAGACAACAGACACGTAATGCGGCTACTGTTAGACCCTGGGGTTACCCCTATTTTGAGGCCAAAAATGTGTCCCAAACCGGGTGAACTTTTCGTGGCACATAGACTGCGCTTTTCCTTCTTGGACCAATAAGAACGTTCGGAATTTGAATCAAAATAAAAAGACACACGAACACACACGAACAGACTGGACAAATATGGTCAAGCGCGTTCACGCAGCAATGCGCGAGGTGGACACCCGTCACTGCGCTCACTGAGGCTGCTGGCACACACAAAAAGCCAGTACCCCACAGCCCGACCGGTCATAGATGGCGGACCCCACCGGTTCGACGGCGGACCCGCCCGTTCTGTTGCCGAAAAAAAGAAAAAGGGCAACGGGCAAACAGCAGGCCGGTTGTGAGAGCNCAGTGCCTTCAACTGTCTCTGGAAGTGAAAGCACCAGAAAATAAATTAATTCATAC